ACCGGTTTCCTGTCCCCTTCCGCGTTCTGTTGAATTTTTGCAACTACATGGCTACTTTTTTATGCGCTCATCGAAAAAATGGTATATTCCTTCCGATTTTGATCTCTTTTATCTTAATTAATTTCTATACCTCACTAAATTATTTTATTACCACAATCGTTGTACTGACGAGGTCCAATCGTAGTAACGGTAAGAAATGTATACCACTTAATGAAACGAAACATTTCTTACCTATTACAAAAATTTCCTCAGTCCTCTTTTCCATTTTACTACGCTTTCCCTCGTTTTCTTTGTTTTCTTCCCTTCTTCATATTTCCTCTTCCACCTTTAATATGTATATGATTCGATGAGACAGTTTTTGATAGCATAAATTTCCACGTTTTAAAAATTTAGCGTTCGACCGTAGTTGTTTTCAGAAATACGAGCGTTGAGAGTTAAAAAATTTATTATTTTCAGTGATTATTTTGTATTTTCTTCAATCCTTTTCTCACTGAATTCGTAAATTTTGAGATGTTATTCGAGTGTTGGTCGAACTGGCGGTCGTCAGCAAATTTCAATCGGATACGGTTGTGATGACGTAAGTTTACTTGATCGGATTTTTTTTTTTGCCGAAATGTTACATGAGAAATTTCGAATTTAAAAAAAAAAAATCACTTCTTTGAACATTTTGTTAGGATTATTTTTCTCTATTTTGGTCACCCAGAACAAAATTTGAGCACCACCATTTTTGATAGAAAAAGCTTGAACAACGGTAAATGGAATAATGGACCGAAATGCAAAACAAAAAAAGGTTGGTTGGTGACCGAAACAGTTGCAGCTTGGAATAATAACGCATGAAATTGGCCATTCGTTGGGTTTCTGGCACGAGCAATCGCGACCGGATCGTGATGCATATATCATACTCCGCAATGAATACATCGCTCATGGCACCGAGGGAAATTTCGTGAAACGCTCCGATTCTGAAAGCGATTCGATGGGATTACCTTTCGATCTCGGCTCCGTTATGCATTATGGGCCCAGCGTAAGTACCTACGCCTGTATGTTCTTTTATCTGACCCCGGTTTTTCATGAACAATACAGGAAATAAAAGAATAGAAGGATTTCACTTGAATGTCATGTGTGTATGAAGACATTTTCTGATGCATTCTCTGTGTGTTTCATCCTTTAGCTGTATGCACAGACCGAACAGTGCATGCGGGTAGGAGTGGAAATCATCAGTACAGCCTCCTACCCGCCATCTTTTGAATAGTCATGTGTCTAATTTGCAAGACAGATAACAGAAAGAAATAGCTATGAGTGAAGGAGCAAACAAAGTGAGAAAGGAAGGAAAGAAGTTAAAATGTGAAGGAAGGGCAAAGTAAATTCTGTCTGCCTGCTTTGCGCCGACCTGCATTTCTCATGGCGTTTCGAGCGTGTCAAAGTAGTACGAAGGGCAGTACGGGCCGTAAAGGCCCAGTGAGCAACATATCAAGAAAAAGCTATAAACAGCCCGCGGAGAGAACTGTAGACAATGGCCAATACAGTCAGGGGCAAAAAGCAGTACGAGCAGTACAGGCCTCATCGGGATCATATTAATAAAGGCTATGAACAGCTCGTCCGGAAGGCTGCGATCACCAGCAGTAAAATCGGGATCAGAAAATGAAATATAAAGAAAATAAAAAACGGTCCGACCAAGCTCAACAAATAGGTGTGTAAAAAAGGAAAGAAAATTAAAATAAGATAAAGAAGAGTATAATGCTGCAAATGTACATAAACCGTATGTCATACAAAAGAGTCATGTAAAACCTTGCCGTTCTTTTGCTTTCACCTTTCCAGAGGAGGGAAGCGGAGGACGCCGTCTTTGATCTTCTTAACTTTCATTAAAAAGGCTTTCCACTCATTGTTTTTATCAATAACATGTTTTTCCAAAATTTAAATTATTTGGCGGCGCACCACTTTCGGTTTAAAAAAATCCATAAGCATCGTTTAAAAGATCTCGACCATGCCACCATTTGAGGTTTGCCCTATTAAAGTTTTTTTTGCTTAATCAGCAGTTAAATAATCTATTTAAATTTGTTGATTAGTTTCATAATCCGATTTCACCAGTCTCCCGGCAATCTGCTATGACGTTGAAATACTGCTGAAGCGTATTGCGAGGAGTCAAGACAGCCATCACTTTTAGGCGTCTGTTGGAGAAGAGAGGCAATTTTTTGGGCTGCTAATACCCAGACACCTTCTGAGCTCCTTTTAAGCTTTCGTGGAAAGTGTCGTGTGGATGTTTTTAAACTTCCGACTTCGGTAACGAGGAAAAATCACGCATTTCGTTCCAAAGAGCCGCTAGGGTTGCTTTTTAGATGCAGTAGAACAGCGAAGTACCGTTTGCAGAAGAATTTTAGCGAAGTCAAAGAATCCTGAAGGTGTGAGAATCTTTTGTTTCGTGGAAAGGGGTTCAGTTGCAAACTTTGACGTAATCGTGCGCGCTGCACACGCGTGCGCGACAGCTGATTTTGAAGTCTTTAGCTCGCACATGCGCAGAAGATATTCCTGCAAGTTTTTAGCTTTGTACCTTGTCTGGTTCGCAAAATCGTTTCCCGCCAAAAAAAATCTTGGGCTTCCAGTAGTTCTGATACTTGTTAAGGCTATTTACTGTGACTGTTAAAGAAAGCAATGCCTCATTTGTGGTCATGTTTTATTTTTGTTCGAATTGCTTCCTATAAAATTAAAGAATGCTAATTTTGAGGCATTCACAATTGACTGGGATCATGCAACAATCGAAACAGTGGACAAACGGTACAGTCGTACGATTGGCCAAAGATATGGGCCTTCGTTTATTGATGTCAAACAAATGAACAGGCTCTATTGTAATGGTATTATTTATTTGATATTAGCTACCAAGAAATTTTGTTGAGCTCAAGCAACTGCTTTATAAAACGCTCTTCACGAGTAGATGACATTAACCAGCAGTGAATTACACTAACACTAAGACCTATAATTTAGCTTAGATTAAGACGTTTCAGTCCATTAAGCTGTATGCTTCTCGTAACAGAACACAAGAACGGCTATGGCATGTTATGTAAGAAATAAAGAAAATTATAGATTAGTAGGGTAAAAGCAAAAAATGATTAGAGAATGGTGGAGATACAAACAAAGCAGGTAATTGACTTAATTTTTCACTTGAGCAGGCCAATTTTTACCTCCTGCCTTGATTGTTCGAACAGTCGTTTATGCCCATTTGTAAGGTAGATCAAAGATCGTGCTAATTAAAGCCAAAAATCAAAGATCATGCTCTCGCATTAACCAAGTAAGCTGTTTATTTTTTGCATAAAATGCTACTGGGATTGAATGAGACAGATTTTGCTGATGAAATACATCAGGTACAACACAGTGCACTATGCTTCATCATTGCCCTTCTGCCATGCATAGTTGTGTAGTCAACGGAATCCCTGAGAAGGTAGATGGAGTCGAATTACCCGATCTTTCACCAGAGTGGTAGCTCATTTTTCCTTGTTTTCAGCTCGTTTTGGCATTGCTTATCTTTGTTCGTTTCGAGGACTGGTTTTCTTGCTTCCGTACATAATCCAGCACGACGATGCCTGGACAACTAGGCTGCTTTAGCTGTCCTCATTGGCTACCTCATTGAATTCTGGACGGCCACCTCCTACCCCTGGTTATTCCTATTGCATGTAGGGTTGGTACGACCCTCGCCGGTCGATATCCTGCGCTGAATAGGTCGCTGTTCCTGGCCCTGGTTACTATCCTCTTCCATTCCCTCACAGGGCTTATGAGGCTTGTACTGCCTTTTTACCTTACATACTTTGATGGGACTGAATTTTATATTTTTGACTGAGTTAGGACTGATTTTTATACTTTTTCATTAAAACTAGCGCATTTTTAAAGATCTGTCGCGCGTTTGGTAGGGTAAAAAAGAGCAGCCGTCATCGCGCCAAGCAAATATTTGGTTGAAGAAGTTAGAGGAGCCATGGTTCAAGGTGAGGGCTTAAATTATCAAACATTTCCTAATTAATTTCATCGATTAAAAAAACTATAGATAGATGTGCGAGCTCATTGCTGGCATGTCAGAACGGTGGTTATCCGGATCCGAATAACTGTCTGGTCTGTAAATGTCCGAGTGGCTTGGGTGGAGTGACATGCACCAGCGTTGCGCCAAGTATGCATTTTCTTGATTTGGTCCATGGTTTCACTTTTTTTTCGATATTTTCCCGCTCGTAAACTCCGGTGACGAAATTTCTTAAATCCGAATTTTCTAAAAATACCACATTTTCTTGAATCTGAATTTTTCTAAAAACTCTAGGCACGAAATTTCTTGAATCCGAATTTTCTAAAAGTACCACATTTCCTTGAATCCGAATTTTTCTAAAAATATACCACAATCAATGCACTACCGGTTCAGGTGATTGTGGTGGCGAGTTGATTGCGACTGGCGCCTGGCAGCATCTTACATACAAGGGATCGAGGAAGTGTTACTGGAGAGTTAAAGTAGGCTTTTTTTTTAATTTCTTAAGCCTTCCGTTAAATAACGAGCAGTTCCAGGTAAGAGGAAGATAATACATAACAACGGCATTCGCCAAGATCCCAGCCTGTACACGTATTTTTATTGCACAGTG